TTTTTTAAATAATGGTAGTTATACTTACCAAGTGGAATTCGGCTTCCATGCGTAACAATCATAGTAATAGTGTCCATATTGACCAACAGATTGCCATTTTGGTTTGATATATCAGCAAATAATTCACAATTAGATGATGATTTATGAAAACTAAATGCTTTACAATGGACATCAGCAAGACAAGCAATTTGACACTGATGGATATTCGACACATTGATAGTGGCAAATGGTAAGCAAGTTGTGTTAGAACATTGGAATTGCCAACCAGGCATATCAGACATATCAAATGATCGTATATCTTGTGTGTCTGATTGTGTAAAAAAAAGAAACAGAAGAAATAAAAGATTCCTTCTCCACACCATAACCAACAAGAGTGTTAGTTAAGAAATGAATTTAACTGCAAATGAAATGTATTGTGAAGACATAGCATTAAATACCTTTTCAGTTTCTCTCTCTTTTTCTTTTTTCTCTTTTTTTTCCAACATCATAGATATTTTTTTATTCCAGCAGAATGATGGAAAAAAAGTTTGCACTTTTTTCTGTCAGGATTGTGTAGTAGAGGTTAACTTTGAACAAGTCAAGCATCTAGTATGATGATTTTCTATTGCGTAGTTTATGTGCAGACGAAAAATAAAACTACGTATATCTTAAAATCTTATTTTATGCAGAAACAATGATCACTTCATTTGTTTATAATATGAGATCACTTTATATTAAATTCAATTCCGTATATCGACATCACAAACACTTTATGAAATAAATCAATTACGTGAAACTATTTTACAGCAGCCTAAAGTAACGTCAATAATTGTTTATCTTCACAGATAATCAGACATTTTTCTTCAAATGAAATATGTCTCGTTCAATAGAATGCTGTCCTTTCTTTCTTTTTTTTCAGTTTTATGTTGTTATAATATAAAATGTGTACACAACACAAAATTTTGTTTTAACGTAATTTAATTCTTTTCTTAAAAATAAAAAAACTGCATTTTGCGCAATGACGTTTGCCTGTTATAATCAGAATAATGGAAATTATATCGTCAAACAAAACTGTCTGTTACAAAAACAGGATGGCAACAAATATCCACTGAGGTTGGAAAAAAACACCGTTACTATGCCGTTAGGAAAGTTACAAATAACGTTTATAACGTCTTTACTTTCTTTGTACATTTTGTTTAGCAAAATTAATCCAAATACTCTTTCGAGTTTTGAATATATTGTTCATGAGTCTATGAATCCGTTAGATCTAAACTAGTGAGATAATTCTGGAACCATTCCTTCATATTACAACTATATCTCTTTCTTTTCGCACATCACAGATATTTTTTTATTTCATCGATATGATAGAAAGAAAAGTTTGCACTTTTTTCGGTCAGGATTGTGTAGTAGAGGTTAATTTTGAACAAGTCATGCAGCTACAAAGACGATTTCTTTTGCGTAGTTTATGTGCAGGCAGAAAACAGCAATACGTATATTTTAAAATCGTGTTTTATGCAGAAATGATGACTACTTTGTATTAAATTTAATTCTGTTTGTCAACATAAGAAACGCTTTATGAGATAAATCAATTAAGTAAAACTACTTTTCAGTAGTCTAAAGTAACTTCAATAATTGTTAATCTTCACAAATAATCAGACATTTTTCTTCGAATAAAATATACCCCGTCAACTACAATGATGTCTGTTATTTTTGTTTCTCAGTTCTACGTTGCTATAATATAAAATGTATACAGAATACAAAAGTTATTTCAAGATAATTTGATTTTCTTCACAAAGAAACGTTAGAAAAAAAAACCTTTGTGCAACGTTGTTTGTCTGTTATAATCAGAATAATAGAAACTACATCGTCAAAGAAAACTGTATTACAAAAAAAGGATGGTAAAAAATTTGCGTTCGTCTTGGAAAAAAATGCATCGTCACTATGCCATTTGGAAAATTAACAATAATGTTTATAACGTTTTTACTTTCTTTATATATTGTGTTTAACAAAAATAATGCAAATATTCTTTCGAGCTTTGAATATATTGTTCATGAGTCTATGAATCCGTAAGATCTAAACTTGTGAGAAAATTTTTGAATCCTTCCTCCATATTACAACTATGAGAAATAACAAACACAGAACACATAAAATCTACATTCGGAATCTAGATAATAAAGAACATCCAGAATACTCCCAAAAATTTATCCACCTAGAAAACTCATATAATCTATGAATACAAAGAATTTTGAGAACTCGAGAAACACAAAACACCAACGTCTTCTTCAATTTTGCAAGTCAACAAGAATAATCCTGAATAAATAAATATACATAAAGTCAATCATCAATACAGGAAATAATAATATTTTTGAATTTTATTTTTTGTCAAATAAAAGAGAAAACAGGAAAAAATATATATACCATAAATAATAAATATTGTAACGGTAGGCCTTTCGAATTTTTTTCTTTTTTTATCAAGCTATAGTTTGAAAATGGTGATGTTGTTTTATAGTAAGTATTATGAAGATGCTACATTTTAACTGAAGACAAAAAACTTGTAGAAATACAGTAAAAAAATTGAGAGAACGGTTCGACAAACAGAAAACGAGAAAGAAAAAAAAATCTTCTTGCTGAAGAGGTATAGTTCACAATGAATAAGTGGTAATATGAAGCGATAAACCCGTGTTACTAGATTTTTTTATGAAACAGGAGAAACCTTCCAAACTTACTTGACAGATACTTTTAATAGAATAATTAAGATATTCAGTGAATTGAAATAGAAAATATTCTGTCGATCATAATTCGAAACCTTTCATGAAAATTACATTGAGAACTACTCATAACTAAAGTTTTCATACATGAGAAATTGTAGTTTCGATATAAATCATCATTTTATCCATAATCGACTTCTATTTGTACTGTTTTTAAACATTTGTTGCTATTCTCTGTTTATTATGTGACGATTTTTGTTTAACACCAAAATTTATTTTCAACTAAATACAATAGATCATTAGTTCTAGAAAACAATTGCATTTATAGCAATCATATAGATCAGACATAATAAATTCTCTGATATTCTTTTAAACGTATTGACACACTCTTATGAACAACATTAAAAAGAGATATATTTTATTTTATTAATCAATGAACAATGTTATCAAGAACAATAAATTATAATAGTCATTAATTGATATTCACATGTGACTAAAGTAAATTGGAAAACAAGTAATTTGTTAATATTTTAATTATGAATTATCAAATATAGATATAATCATTCGGTACACATCTTCAATAAACAAATTCAAAAATAATCATTTACTCGTTATAAAGTATATATTTATCGTTTTCTATTCTCACTATACTGCATTACTGATAGTTATAAAATGACTTTTTCTAATTGTGTTTTATAGATATGAATAATGTATTCAAACTTTAATATCGTTGCAATAAAATGATACAAATCATATGAGTTTAAGAAAAGATATTTTTGTAGATTTATTTAAGCTTCACCATTCTCTTATTATCAATAATTAGCTTAGTTATTGAAAGACAAACTATATATGAATTTAAAGAAGAAGTATTGAATAGGCCTGCTAGAATAAAAGAAGATTATCTATTGATAAAATAGTGACAATATAGTCTCACTTTTATTCTCTTTCTCATACAGAAGAGTCTTGCAAACATAAATTGCCTGCTTGCTTGTTTGTCCACATTTCACCGATTGTTCCAAAAAATAAGTAAAGATATAAAAGGATTTTTTCAAATTGTTTGATTAAATAGTTTACTGGTATTGAAGACACATCGTTTCTACGAGGAAGAGCACAACAAGTCCTCAGACGAGCGTTACGTATTTTATATGGTTAGTAGTCTATTTTAATAGTCCGCGATTTAAGTAGGACTCGTTTAGAACAAAAGACGTAGATGTTTTGCTATAACAATAAATCAAATTGGCAGTAGTAAAAACACTTTAGGTGAGTGATTTAAGACCGATGATTATTGTTCACGATTGGTTGTTGGCGAAGAAAAATATCATCCACGGTTAGACAGTGAAAATGGTGAAATAGTTTCGGGTGATCATGAGAAATATCAGGACATGTTCATGGGAACCCAGGGAAAGTAATTATTGTTTACGGATGGTAAATATTTAATTGATATTCAAACCTGTCGAAGTCCAAAGTCTTGGTTAATTTATTCGAGCGAGGACGATGCTCATTCGTTCTTGCACACTGTTCGTGTTAGTAAACAAAGTTTATTTACTCGTGCTTGGCATAACGCAGAAAGAACTTATCAAAGTCCTCGTCCAATTAACCGTCAAGATCAATTTATAGTAAGTTGTGGGCAAAATACTCATTTCAATTTGAGAATTTGCAAAGAACATATGCAGAATCTTCGTCAATAAAAGGCAAATGATCGGCTTCTTTATACCCCGAATGTTATCTACGATTTCGTTAATGATATATGAGTTGTATTAGAATCATCAAATCATATTTATATTTATGGTGAACCGAATTTAGAAAAACTTATTGGAAAGTTGATGTACCATCTAGCTTTTTATTTGGTACTTTGCCCAATCAAGTAGATTATATTTGGTTTGAAGACTTTAAACTTGATAAATATCTTCCTTATTTATCAACATTATTATCAATTAGCCGCAAAGGAGTTGACGACTGTCACAAAATGATATTTGCAAAATTTATTTGAATGTAATGAGTGTGGTGTACGTTGTTTTAAAACAGATCCTGTTTCTGATGATTAGTTAGATTCTTTTAATATCACCGGTCAACAGTCGATGATCCATTTACCAAAATACATTATAGACGTAAAGGAAGACACGAACAAACCACGAGATAATCAGCTTTGTTTGTTATCTGATTCTATTGAATTTTAAATAAAGTTGTGTATCAGTCGATTTTAATGGAAATAACCAGTGAATTATACATATATCACTGAGGATGAGATTGAAGGTCAGAAAAAAACCACTTCTCTTTAGAAGAAAAACTATTTATATTTGAGAGAAATGCACTCGTTCAACTCCATATCTCCACTCATAATGAGAAATGGATTTTGAAAAAAAATAGTTTGTTTCTAAATAGTTAAGGATTGTTCTTTATATGTAAATTTGATTGATTTATGAAATTGAGATAGTTGATGACAAATATCACTTGATGAAGATGATGTAATGATTAATACGAAAGTATCATCTACGTATCTCTTATAATACATAATCCCCATACTTGTAAAAGTTGAAGAATTTTCCTTCTGGAAATCTTGAAAGAAGTTTTCGGCAAGTAATAAGGCTAGTGGTGATCCCATTGACACGCCATTAGTTTAGTCCCACAATTTTCCATCGAAACGAAAATGAGATTGTTTTCTAGCGGAAATTAATAGCTGATGATGTAGTACGAATCCCGTATAAATTTTACAGTATTATTTGGCTGATCTCATCGAGTGGTACATTTCTATACAAGCGAGATATACAGAAAGATACCATTTTGTAATACGAAAAAGATTTAGTTAATGCTTGTAGATCGTTGACGAATGAAAATGAATGATGGACCAAACTTTTTCTGTTAATTATATTCCATCAAATTTCAGTGAGAGCTTTTCCGAGTCCATATATAAATGTTCATCAAGCAGAGAGTACTGATCATAATGAAATATTGTTCTTGTGAACTTTAGGTAATCCATATAGTCGACCTGGATTTGAACTTTCAGGAAAAGCCATTTTGTAAAATTGTTCGGTTATGGATTTTTCTTTAAATAATCTATTTAAGAATGTAATACGAATTTATTCTCTAGTTACTGTTGGATCATTAATAATTTCATACATTTTTAATAAATATTTGCTCTTGTTTATCAATACAACATCTCTTCCTTTGTCAAGACGAGTTGTTTTAATAAAAAAACAATATAGTCGTTGACGAAAACGATTTGCTTGTTGTCGAAATGTATCTGTGATTGAACGTAGATTACTGGCTAATGTCATTTCTTGCGTTGTAAAAACTCGAATATCATGAGCAGTAGCTTTATTCTTTCCTTTAAGTTCATCCATAAGTGGTTTGTAATGTGATGAAAGAATTATTCAATATTACCGATAATATTCATATCGTCAACACGACTGACAAGCAAACCAAATTCTAAACCATTCACAAGACAATCTGTTTCTTCATCTGATAATACTCGACTTGATAAATTAGTAACAATTTTACGATCAATTGGACATTTTGTTTTAATCGGTTTAACAGAAGAATATAATTTCTAATTCATTTTATATTCTTTTTTTTGTAAAAATGGAAGTGAAATATAAATAATAACTTCCTTTAAATATTTGAATAAATCATCAGATGTACTATTTTTGAGCAACGCAAATTGCGAAAGATATTCTTGTTTTACTTTACAAAAATCTTAAGGGTGTGAGTGTGGGTGCATGATTTATTCAATATTCAACTCAACCCCCCTAACCCCAACATTACACAAACACATATTCAGCTTTAGTTTTTTCTTCGTTTTTTAGCATAATGTTTAAAACATGCTCGACGTACAAAATTTCACAAAGCCTTTTTTACTGTTTTTTTTCATAATAAATCTGATACATTCATATACACAGTAATGTGATATCCGATAAACAGATTAAGAGAGACACAATATCGGTGAAAGGATTCTTTTTTCTTTTTCTGCCACTATTCTATGGAGAAGAATGTCGCCTTCTCATTGACAAACTGCAGTAATGACGCACATAGAGATGAAAAAAAGTTGGAAAGAATAATAATAAAATGAGTTTGATTGACGGCTTTTCTTTTGTTGGTTCTTTCGATAGCGTTATCAACTAATTTATCTGCTCTGATCTTATTTGTGCTCTACACAATATTATTTTCAGAAAGATATAGGCAGAGTTTGTCCTTGAGTGACAACACAAAAGTATTCAAAGTTGTTAAAACAGCAGGAGAAAACAAGTCACTACCTATATAAATTGACTAGTTTGGATTTTAAAGCGACATGGGTGCACAAGAATCGAAAGGAAACCTTACAACAACATCATCACATATTCGTCAGTTACAACAACGTATGGCACAAAATTACCTTCTCATCTGGCTAGATGCCAACATAGACAAAAGAAAAAAGAATTGTCGAGACACACTCAGTCAATTGAAGAGCGTGGTCAATCATGTCAAATCATGCACTAAACCGAATCAGTGCATTCAAGTACTCAAGAAGTTTAAAAAGGAACGAGCCTTTGTCATAACATCAGACTCATTAGGTCAACATTTGGTTCCTAAAATTCATCACATGGCACACTTGGATTCCATTTACGTCTTTTGTGACGAACAATCTAAATGTCAAGGATGGGCACAAGACTGGACAAAAATCAAAGGTGTTCACACAAACATCGAAGAGATCTATCAAGCATTGCAACTGACAGTTAAGCAACGCGATCGGGATTCTATTGCCGTAAGTTGTCTTACGATAAATGAAATGGCTTCAACTGATAGTATGAGTCAGTTGGAGCCGACCTTTATGTATACACAGATATTCAAGGAGATTCTCCTTGATATCGAATATGATGACAAGGCAATCAGAGACTTCGCAGTATGTTGTCGGAAAGTTTTCAGTGGCAATCCAACTGAATTAAATATTATTGATCGATTCGAACGTAACTATCGTTCACAACGAGCACTATGGTGGTATACACGTGACTGTTTCACCTACAAAATGCTCAATCACGCACTTCGAATGTTAGATACCGATTTAATCATTAAAATGGGCTTTTTTCTACGTGATGTACATCAACAACTTGAACAGCTGCATCAGGAACAGGGCAACAGTTTTGGGCGAAAACCTTTCATAGTTTATCGAGGACAAGGTCTTATAAAATCAGAGTTTGAAAAACTGCAGAAATCAAAACGTGGACTGATGTCATTTAACAGTCTTTTGACCACGAGTACAGATAAAGAAGTGTCTCTCCGTTTTACTCGACATGCTTCAACAGAACCAAACAAGGTGGGCGTTCTATTTGTCATGTCCATTGACCCTTCTATTAAATCAGCACCATTTGTCTTTCTGAAGGATGTGAGTGCTATTAAGAAAGAAGATGAAATTCTCTTCTCAATGCACACCGTGTTCCGAGTGAATGCAATTAAACAAATGAATAATAAGAATCAGCTCTATCAAGTTGAATTAGAATTAACGTCGGATGATGACCAGCAAGTACGAGTACTTACGGATCGAATACGAAAAGAAGCTGATGGTACTGGATGGCAAAGATTAGGTAACTTATTGCTTAAAATTGGTCACATTAGTAAAGCTGAAGAACTTTATAATACATTAATCAAACAGACACCTGATGAGGAATATAAAACGCTTTATTATAATCAACTGGGATTGTTATATTCGCATCAAGGTGATTATGAAAATGCTGTTTGGTATTATGAAAAAACATTAGAAATTGAGCAGAAAATTCTTGCTTCAAATGATCCTGATTTGGCTTCTTCATGCAGCAACATTGGTAATATGTATAGCAAGATGAAAGAATACTCGAAAGCACTTTCATTTTATGAAAAAGCACTTGGAATTCGACAAAAAGCTTATCTTTCATATAATCCATCATTCGGTATTTCATACAACAACATCGGTATGGTGTTTTACAAAATGGGAGACTACTTGAAAGCGCTTTCATTTTACGAAAAAGCACTTGGCATTTGGCAAATAACTCTTCCGTCAAATCATCTTAATTTTGCTAGTTCGTACAACAACATTGGCAGTGCGTATTACAAAATGGGAGAGTACTCAAAAGCACTTTCATCTCACGAAAAAGCACTTGAAATTCAAGAAAAGACTCTTCCTTTAAATCATCCTGATTTGGCTACTTCGTATTGGTACATGGGTAGTGTTTATAACAATATGAAAGACTATTCAAAAGCACTATTATATTTTGAACGTGCTCTGGATATATTCCAATGTGCATTTCCTCCAACTCATCTGCATATAAAAACTGTGAAAGAGAATATTAAAACTGTAAAAAACAAAATATAAAGAATAGTTGATATATAAATGAAAGAATCTCTTGTTCACTTGTTTTTTAATGAATTCTAATCTGTAGCGACTGGCGACCGCGTACTGAAAACGACTCTATAAATAGTAAAAACGTAATGGACAAAGCTCACTGATAAGATAATACACATACATGTATTTGTACAAATGATCTTTTCAGGTATATTTACACTTCTAATTCTTTACGAGTGTTCCCTGTAATAAAAGAAGAAGAATAACTTACATGGAATTGAATTATAATAGCATTGAACAAGACCTCGTATGATAAAGAAAAAGTTAAAAAAACTATGATATATATATTGATCGAGATGTCATTAGCACATGATCTAATTGAATAGTTGAATTCAAGTTTCAAGTATTGCATATATGAAAATATATAAATAGATCGGTAAAATTGAATATATAAAAAAATGAAGTTTATGTATTTCACATTGATATCAATTGGTTCTTACAACAAGATAACACTAAATGTTCATTATGAAGCTTTCGATTCACGAACGATGCAAGGTTTTCAATTGCTCGACGCAGATCGAGTTCATTATTTATCGATATTTAGAACGCAGTAAGAAAAGTAAAAGTTGAAAGATATGCCGATCCTTGTCTTGTGTTTGTAGAGTTATATTGGTTTCATTAAATTTTCAACTATATGATTAGTATTTATTAGTAAAAATTAGTTGCAGTACATTAAATAATTTGATAACGCCATGATTAGTTGAGAATAGCTAAGTATTTCATTGCTTCTGATCAGTTGTCCTATACTTATTACAGTCCAATTCGGATATTTACAAATAAATCACTTGCTGTACTCTACTTCAACAGTCTCTTATTATGATCCATCGACCGTTTCGAGATTTCTATTTACATTTGCCATAAAAACACACACTTACTTTAGAATGATACCACCTAGAATTTGCCCTATTGAAAAGAGCTTACAACATGCAGCGCAGTCTACTACGTAGAGATGTTTACCAGAAAATTATTGGACTAGTTTGAGTGTGTGGGTAAATATAGAACCATCTTGAGGGTGGGTGCGGGTCTGGTGAATGATTAATTCAATATTCAGCTCAATCCTCAACCCCAACACCACATTCACACTCTCACTCAAACCATCCCCACACACATTCTCACCCGATCTCCACTCTCACATGAGCCAGAGGCCACATTCATCCATATTCTCACATATAGAAAAAGTCACATTCATCCGCATCCTTACATATAGCAGCGTCCACACACGCACACGGCTACAGTTTTTTCTTGCTTTTTAACATAATGTTCAAAGCACCCGCGACGTATAAAATTTCAAGAAAGCTTTCCCATAATAAATTTGATACATTCATGTACACAGTAGCATGATATCTGATTAAGAGTGTAAGAGAAGAACTAAATCGGTGAAGGAATTGCTTTTTCTTTCTCTGGTATTATTCCATGAAAAAAAGTGTCGCCTACACATTAACCAACTGCAGTGATGACGCAGACAAATGTCAGAAAAAGTTGGAAAAAACAATAATAAAATGAGTTTGATTGACGGCTTTTATTTTGTTGATTATTTCGATAACGTTGTCAGCTCATTTATCTGCTCTAATCTTAGTTGAGCTCTGCGCAATATTTTTTTCAAAAGTATAAAGATAGAATTTGTCCTTGAGTAAGAACACACAAGTATTCAAAGCTGTTGAAACAGTGGTAAAAACAAGTCAATATCCATATTAATAGACGATACGAATTTTATCTTTCCACTAAACCAACTATTCTCAAATTCATTTCACGTAAAAAACTAGTTTATATTTTAAAGCGGCATGGGTGCACAAAAGTCGAAAAAAAAGTTGACAACAACATCAAAATCAACAGCATCATCGAATATTCTCCAGCCACAACGACGTATGCCACAAAATCACCTTCTCTTTTGGATAGATGCCAGCATAGACGAAAGAAAAACGGATTGCCAAGACATACTCATTCAAATGAAGAATGTGATCAACGATGTCAAATTATGCACTGAATCAAATCAGTGCATCAGAGATCTCAACAAGGTTGACAAGGAACGAGCTTTTGTGATAACATCCGGCTCATAAGGTCAACATTTGGTTCCTCAAATTCATGACATGCCACAGTTAGATGCCATTTACCTCTTCTGTGGTAACAAATCCAGACATCAAGGATGGACTCAACACTGGACAAAAATTAAAGGTGTCCATACAAGCTTCAAAGAAATTTGCCACGCATTACAACTGGCTGTCAAACAATGTGACCAGGACACAATTTCTCTAAGTTTTCTGACCGTAAATGAAATGGCTTCAATTGATAATTTAAATCAGTTAGAGCCAAATTTTATGTATACCCAACTGTTCAAGGAAATTCTTCTAAATATGGAACATAATGAACAGGCTATCAAACAGTTTATTACTTATTGTCGAAATAATAACAGCTTGTCATCAATCAATATTAACAGTTTCGAAAAAGAATACCATGCTCAATCCGCTATTTGGTGGTATACTTTTCCATCCAATATCTACTCTATGCTTAACTATGCTCTTCGAACACTGGACGCTGACGCAATTATTACTATGGGTTTTTTCATGTGCCATCTTCATCAACAAATACAACAGTTGTACGAACAACAGATCAATAGTTATGGAAGAAAACCTTTTATAGTTTATCGAGGGCAAGGTCTTCACAAATTAGACTTTGAAAAACTTCAGAAAACAAAAGGTGGATTAATGTCATTTAATAATTTCGTATCTACCAGTACAGATAAAGAAGTGTCCCTCAGTTTTGCTCAAGGTGCACTAGGAAATGGAGACATGGTGGGAGTCCTATTCAAAATGTCCATTGATCCTAGCGTCAAATCAGTACCATTTGCCTCCATCAAGGATGTGAGTTATTTCAACGAAGAAGAAATTCTTTTCTCAATGCATACCGTCTTTCGAGTAACTGCAATTAAACAAATGGACAATAAGAATCAACTTTATCAAGCTGAATTAGAATTAACATCCGATGATGATCAACAACTACGATTACTTACTGACCGAATACGAAAAGAAGTTAATGGTGATAGTGAATGGAAGAGGTTAGGTGAGTTATTGCTTAGAATTCGGCAATTTAATAAAGCTGAAGAACTTTTTAATGTATTACTGGAACAGACATCTGATAAGGATGAAAAAGCGTTTTATTATAATCAGTTGGGATCTATTCATCACTATAAAGCTGACAATGAAAAAGCCATTTGGTATTACGAACAAGGACTTGAAATCTATCGACAAACTCATCCTTCAAATCGTTCTTCATTGACTACTTCATACAACAACATCGGTGCCGTGTATCTCAATATGGGAGATTACTCGAAAGCACTTTCATTTTACGAAAAAGCATTTGAAATCCACGAAAAAACTCCTCTTTCAAATCATTCATTATTGGCTACTTCGTACAACAACATCGGTGCTGTGTATGTCAATATGGGAGATTACTCGAAAGCACTTTCATCTTATGAAAAAGCACTTGAAATTCAACAAAAAACTCTTCCTTCAAATCATCCTGATATAGCTACTTCATACAACAATATCGGTCTGGTCTATGACAACATGGGAAAGTACTCAAAAGCACTTTCATTTTGCGAAACAGCACTTAAAAGTCGAGAAAAAACTCTTTCTTCAAATCATCCTGACTTGGCTGCTTCATACAGCAGCATCGGTAATGTTTATTGCAACATGAGAGAGTACTCGAAAGCATTTTCAATTTACGAAAAAGCACTTGAAATCTATGAAAAACCTCTTACTTCAAATCATCCTGATTTGGCTACTTCATACAACAACATTGGTTTTGTGTATGAGAAGATAGGAGAGTACTCGAAAGCACTTTCATCTCACGAAAAAGCACTTGAAATTCGACAAAAAACTCTTCCTTCACATCATATTGATTTTGCGCAGTCATATAACAATATCGGTTGTATGTATAGCAAGATGTTAGATTACTCGAAAGCACTTTCATCTTATGAAAAAGCACTTGAAATTCAACAAAAAACTCTTCCTTCAAATCATCCTCGTTTGGCTGCTTCATTCAACAACTTCGGCACTGTGTATTGCAACATTGAAGAGTACTCGAAAGCTCTTTCATGTTACGAAAAAGCACGTGAAATTCGACAAAAGACTCTTCCTTCAAATCATCCCCATTTGGCTAGTTCATATAACAACACTGGCTTCGCGTATGACAAGATGGGAGAGTACTCCAAAGCACTTTCATTTTACGAAAAGGCACTTGAAATTCGACAAAAAATTCTTCCTTCAGATCATCCGGATTTGGGTACTTCGTACAATAACTTCGGTAATGTGTATTGCAATACGGGAGAGTACTCCAAAGCGCTTTCATTTTACGAAAAAGCACTTGAAATCTTTCAAAAAACTCTTCCTTCAAATCATCCTGATTTGGCTACTTCATACAATAATATCGGTAGTGTATATTGCCAGATGGGAGAGTACTCGAAAGCATTTTCGTTTTACGAAAAAGCACTTGATGTTCGACAAACAATTCTTTCTTCAGATCATCTTTCGTTGGCTAATTCATACAATAACATCGGTTTGGTGTATTGCAAGACGGGAGAGCACTCGAAAGCTCTTTTTGTTTACGAAAAAGCATTTGAAATACGACAAAAGCTACCTTCAGATCATCCTGATTTGGCTATTTCGTATTGGTACATGGGTAATGTTTATAACAATATGAAAGACTACTCAAAAGCACTACTTTATTTTGAACGTGCTCTGAACGTGTGGCAAAGTGCATTACCTTCAACTCATCCTCATATAAAAACCGTGAAAGAGAGTATTGAAATTATCAAAATGAAATTATAAACAATTATTAATAAATAAATGAAAGAATCTCTTGTCCACTTGTTTGTGAATTTATTTTAGTCTGTAGTGATTCGTGCGCGTACTGAGAATGATTCTATAAGTAGTAAAATCGTAATGGACAAAGCTGACTGAGAAAATAATATACATACGATCTACACCCTGAAGAATTAATCGAAATCAAGATAAACCTTGTTCTATATGATCTAAATTAATTAAAAATATTAAAATTAGCTGTTTAGATCGCAATCATGAGGGTAAGTATTGAATTAGCTAACTGAAATCTAGTTCGAATGATTATTCAGGTTATGATGAAGTTTATATAATCAGTAGAGTCCATTGAATTAAATATTGTCTTTTATAATCTAAATGACTACGATAAACTCATCTAATACATTATTTGAACTTTTATTTGATTTAACATAAACAATGAAATTCAAAAGTAATTAATAAACTTTATCCTCTGTTTCCAGCAACAGAATTAAGACATATAAAATTACTTGTTAGAAAAAGTAAACATGATGAAATTTAATAATACATTCATAGTTGATGCCTTCAAACTTTTTCATATAAATAACATTTTGACTTGATATACAAGATTACTTCAATTACAATTTCAAAGGTATTTTTTAAATATGTACTCAATTGTATGGTGTAATTAATAAGACAATAATCAAACTTAATAAAAAAATTCTTTCTATTCATGATCTATTAATATATACATTCATAGAAACATCAAATAAAGGTTAGATGAGAGATGATTATAATAGATACATAACTGCACAGATATTCGATTGTTTATTCCACAAACAAAAAAAATTACATGAAAGACCAATAATGAATATCTATATAAATTGAAATTCGATTAAATTTTATTCTTTGCTGCAAGAACAGAGAGAACTAGAAATCAAAAGATAAAATATCAATAATACTCTAAACAACATCATAAAATTTATCTTACCAACTATAAGAGCAATAACAATGATAACGATTATAGCTATAATAATCCACATCTATAATAAAAAAAAGAAAATTATTTAAAATAATCTAAAAATAAATGAAATCAGATATTCACTTTAACATTTTGCCACCAAAATTTTTGGCGAACTTGATGTGAATGATAAGCCATCTGATTCGAATTAACATGCAAATCGTCTATAAATTTCAAAAAGAAAAAAAAATAGATCATATTTTAAAATATTTTTTACCTGCTCTCATTTCAAGATCATCAAGATTCGTACCACGTTCTAACCCTAATCGAATATTATTTCTCATGATTTCTGTAACCTTAAATTGAAAAATATGACATATATGTAAAACTAGAAAAAGAAAGTCCTTTAATTTCTTCGTACTGCATCAACTTCGCCCTGCAAATGTTGGAATTGTCCAGGTGGTGTATAATAGACACCATTATTTGGTTGATAACTTTGATTTACTATACTTGTTTCCCTAGATTCGAAATCAAAATATTGAAATATTCATTTCAATCATATGATACAATCCTTACATAGTCAAATGTTATACGAAGGACAGTCGTGTGAATAATAAACCAAAACGAAAAAAATATATGATCGAAACGAAAAAGAACAACCTTGCAGCTACCTGACAATTGCACGTTGGCTTTTTTTTTCAGTCATATAACGATATGATTCATTGATAGAAAAATATTACTACGTCATTGATTGGTTCCGATCGCCATTTCAAAACTAAATTAATAAAAACAGCTCAATATAATAATTACGTCATTTTTAGTAATTCTATGAGTAGTATATTAAAGTTAAGTAAGAAAAATGATGACTAACAACATTACTCAGTTTTACTTCCATGGGTTAGTAAATAGTATGAATAATTTTTTCTTTATTATTATAGTTACTGTTCAATGACAAGATATTACTGATTTATTTGAATAAAAAAAATCGTGAAATATATAATATCAAAGCTATGATTAAGAAAAGAAAAGTATAATGAAATACAACAACTAAATAAATGCGTTAAAGAATGTTTATCGAATTTGCGAGATAGATTCAGAGTTTTGTCGTGAAAATTGATCATTATGCGGTCGAGATTGTTGCATTACATAAATCTAAAAAAAAATTTTAAATTTTAAACTTCTTATTATAAAAGACTAAAATTGACAAACCATATCCGATGGATCCATATGATAGTTATAGGGTGGATAACAGAGAACAATACGTTTATGACCACCAGTTAAACGATTGATATTAGCTGTTGGATCATTTCGAAGAAGTACATCTAATAAACGATAAATACCCATAACAATCATCTGATAACGCTGAATAGCTTCACAAAATAACACACTAAAAGTAACTGGAGTTGTCTATTAATAATCAAACAAATATATATGAATTTAATAAGAAAAAAAATAGATTATATATATTACTCGTATATCAATATCTGGTATTAATTCTCGAATTTCTAAAACAGCAACTCGAGCACGATTTCGTTTTTTTAATATATCTGTTGATTCACATTGTGTAAAACCACCACCTTCAGCTAAAATTTCTTCTAATTGTACATCAACACCACCCGTTAAAATATTTCGAAGTAAATTAACCGCATTATCATTGTAATAAGCCTTTTAAAATAAATATTTATTAAATATATATATATATTCAATTAAAAATAACTTACACAACTTAAAATACAATCAAGAACACTATCAGCAAATGCAGCACCTTACATAGAAAAACAAATCATTCTTAATTCTTAAACAATATTCAATGATTATTAATATACCAGATGCAAATGGTGTTGTTAAATAGAATTCTAAATCAACTTCATCAGTATCACCTTGTTCAACATATTGAACATTTGAATCAATTGCTAAATAAATAAAAATATGAATTGTATTTTGTTTTTGAGAAAAAGAAAAACTATTTATTACTTAATGTTGTTAATGTTCGAATTTTATTTTGAAGTAAAGCCATAGTTTGATTTGTATGCATATCAAGTGTACTTTGTCCAGTTAAATTCATCACTGAAACAAATCCAGCTGATTTCATTTCTATTTGTCGTATATTTAATGTACAAAGTACAGATGATTTATCAACTAAATATGTATCTTGATTATCACGATCTAATGTTGATATAATAACACATTGACGACAATCTTGAATACATATTAATTGTAAATTATATGGATTACTTGGCGAACCCTAATAATTAAATTTTCTATATAAGAAAAAAATATAAAAAAGAACTTTTACATTAAGAATATAGATATCAGGAAATGTTGCAATCATATCCCATTCATGTTTAATATAATCAAGATCTGTAACAAATATAATTATTGGTAATTCATTACGATGAAATGAACTAGCACGAAGAGGCATAACAAAATTTCGTAAACCAATTGTAGGTGATGAATGATCAGCATGAAGACACACAATAACATCTATATAAAAAAAATATAAAGAACAAAATTCTACATGATTGTTTGATAACTTACGATCTTGAAAACGAACTGGATGTGTCGGTGGTACGAAGTGTGATCGTTGATAATCGAATGGTTTACCATCTTTTACTGTATTCTGTCGACGAAATGCAAGACGACGTTCACGAAGTGATTCCATATGCTATAGATAATATCAAGAAGAATATTCAAAATGTTATTTTATTATTTAATATATACGAGAACTGCTTCTTCAATACGTCGTGGTGGTACAAAATAAAACATTCCAGTCGAATCAAAGCTCGACATATTTTCATCCGTAGGTCTGATTTGAAAAAAGAAATGATAACAATTAAATTTCAGTTTAAAAACAATAGAAAAATGTAAAACATACAGATATGCCACTTACATGCAATAAAATAAAATAGGCAACAAAGCAAATGACCATAAAGCACATGACAATATTTTCTATACATGTATATACATAAGCAATATATATATGCAATAAAAAATAATACGCACGGTTCACTATGTGTTAATGAAACTGTATCTGTTGGTTCTGACTGACATATAAGTAAAGGACGACGAACATCCCCTTCAAGTAAACGCCTAAAAATCATATGAAATCTTTTTTTGAAGAAATATATTTCCTAAAAAAAGATTGATTTACACAATATTATTTTTAGATTTTTCTTTTCCGATTGAAAGTTGACTTTCTGCAAGTGTTTCCATTGGGGCAACATCATCAGCAACAATCGCTGAAAAATAAAAACGAATAGTTTTATCTAAAAAATGCTACATTCAATATTTTACTATGACGACATCTTCTCATTCGTTTTAACTGTGCTACTGTTAATTGATCGACATTTGGATAACAAACAGCACAATAAAATTTCACTCTGCAATTAAAACAAAACATTATATATTCAGAAGAAATATCGAACAACCTTTTGGCATCTTCACTTGAACTACAAACCATAAAAGCACGTGTACCACTAAGAATAATACAATCATCTTTTGGTGCAACTTCAACAATTAATCTTGTATTTCCATTATCATCTACATGTTTGATTTCAACAGCTAATAACATAACTCGAAGTTTAAAACAAATTCTTAAAACAGAATTTATATATCGGAAATTTTATCATTTCAAATAAACATACAAAGCTGCTTCGATAAATGTTTTTCCTTGGAATGAACGTGGTAATTCTTCAAGATACATTTCCATAGCTGCACCTCGATGATACAATTCACGCCAATGCCAAGCTTGAGTCTGATACAAAAGCAAGCAGAAGTCTTTTATTTATTACTGTTTAAGTAAGAAAAATAAACTTAAGGATGTGCCGCAAAGTAGAAAGTGAAGGGGAGGAGTGCACGAAAATTTATATATAATTTTCCAAAAGTGAGGGAGATCCACACTCTTCTCCCTTGAACTCTTTATATGGCACATCCCTGAATAAACTAGATGAAATGGCCAGTAAAAAAACTGACCATTTCATCTTGTTTACAAATTATAAAGAATATCCCCCATATGAATAAAATGTAAAACATTAAAAGCATTAAGCATCCCCAAGATAGTATAAGAACTTACATTCTCATCACACAAATATGAATCTTTATAACACATGTATAGCTAGGAGAAGAATAGAATGTAATCTTATTAAATTTTAAGGAGAAAATCATTTTCAAAATCTTTATATGTAAAACTGAAGGAGAAGTCGATGAATCATGAAAGAAAAAACAAATATCTGCTAAAATTTCAAAGCATACTCTCGTTGAATAATAGACCTTTTGCTGTAATAAACTGAACCTTTAAAAAAAGATGTAATTATTAATCATCTAAATTTACCAATTCTTGTGATTGACGAGTTTTATATGCTGACATTCGAAAAATATTTGTCATCTATGAAAATAATCATCATATATCTATATATATATTTATTTAATTAATCAATACCATTGTACAAAATCCTGGTACAGCACAAGACATTCCAATTAAACCAAGTTTTAATTCAGCAATACAGATTATTTCATCACCATCTTTTGAACTCCAACCTGGTATTGAAGCAACATTCATCTGAAATTATCTTATTATAGATCTTAAGAATTTTCTCATATATTTATTCTCATACTTTATTTTTATATTGAAGCAATTGTAATAAAACTCGAATACGTTGATTAAAATTTTTTAAACTAATTACTCGCATTATATTTGCTGAATCATCACCATCTGGATCTGGACATTCTTTATCAGCAATTATTAAACATGCTGTTGCTTTATTAACCTAATTACAGGAAGTATATTGATTATTTATCTTTGTCTTTTTTTAATTAAATATATATACTTGAATTCGATGTAAATCAGCAACATTCATTACAGTTCCAACAAAATATTGTACTTTCGTATAATACCGTTTTAATAATGCTTCCATTTCGATTTCCGGTGTTTTTCTTTAAATAGAACAAAACAAAATGATAATTAGCTTTATTTGTATCAATATAAATAATAATAATCATACTTATTTATTATAACAATATCAAGTTCTTCAGCTTGATCACGATCTTTATGTAAAAAATCACGTAGAAATGTTGTCATTGAATGAGGTGTGATATGACCACAGATTATGACATGTCTAAAATTGAATATTTTATTTGCATTTCAAATACGTGTTGGATCATTTTTCAAATCGTTTGAATATAGTGTAGCGCTATTCTTGTATTATGAAATTATATAGACGAGAATCATTGATTAGTTTATCTTAACGATTAATTATATTAGTGACTTTAACTGATTTTTTTTGTCTTACTAACTATATTATAATAACTCTATCTCATTATTATTCTTTCATTTAATACAGTAAGCTCTTTCAACGATGCGTAAATCTCTTTAAACCTTGACATTGTTTACCTAATTTGACAGCTTGATTATCTATAGGGCTCAATCGTTTTTAATTTAATTCTATAACAAATTTCCTTTCATGTAGATAAGAATTGCATGACATTCAAGTCAACCAATGAAAGAAAATATTTTTTGCCTAGAGTTATATCTTACTGTTTGCCTTTTACAATTCGATAACGACCGGAATATTGTCCAGTTGATCCAAACAAACTCGAAAATTCTGGAATCATTGTTGCAAAAAATGCCTAAATATAACAAGAATAAAAACATTTGAATTAAAAAAAATCTTCAAGCATTTCTTACCAATCCACCGATTAGAAACATAAGCATGAAGAGTTTTCCAATATATGTCTTACAAAAAACATCTCCATAACCAACCTAAATAAAAATTGTTACTAATGATAATCAAAAAGAATTTTTTTATTTGATTTTACTGTTGTCATTGTAACAATCATAAAATAAATTGCATTAAATACATCTAATTCTTGAGCATTTTGAAAATTACAGAAAAAATCTCCTGAATTTTCGGCTAAATGGACTGCACCAGCAGCGGCAACCCAAACAGCAATAAACCGGGATGCTAATTGGACAATACGTATAGTTCGTGGTCGTTCAATTAAACCCATATATTGAAGAATATCTGGAGTATTCATAATACGTATTGCTCGAAGAAATCGAAAGCCTATCCAATTTCGATTAAGATATAAGGCAACAAATGATGGTGGAATAGTAAACATATCAACAATTGAATATAAACTAAACCAAAATCGTCGTTTATGTTGTGAAGCAGTAAACTAAATTTGAAGAGATTCTATCGTATTTCAAATCGAATAAAAAAATTAAACAAACTCGAAGAAAAAAATAAACCAAGAAAAGAACATTAAGACCAAGGTCAGCTTGCATTGTGAAAGATTTACTAAATTCAGTACATGATTCAATGTACCTAAATAAGAATATGTAGAAATTTTTTTAAAAACGATTACATAAAAGCTTTTTTGATCTTGAATAATAAACAAAGTGAAATTATATTGATTATTTAGATAGCTTTTTATTTTATTAATAATACTAATTCTGCAAAATATGTTAACCGTTTGATTTTTTAATCGATTCTATTTTAATATTTCAAGTCTAAGTAATTAGCGGAAATACTCATGAAATATCTAAATGATATTTTTCTTTTTCTGTTCTTTTACTTATTGGATAATAAGCGTATGCAATGTTGTCGTACCGGTTTAGTATACAACGAGGAAACATGTCATTTGCGGAAGATAGAACGATAGTTACTACATTGTGTTTTTAATCAATCATTTCTTTTTCTGTTACAAAAATCTCATTTTTCTTGATTATTTGCCAACTAACAGATATATTCTGTTATATTTCATAATATATAAAAATTAATCAAACCATGAATTTCTATTTATATTTAGTTACCAATAAAAAGCAAGCAGAATTTAATTAATAATACTTCTAGTACTTCGGATGTAAAGAAAACAATTGTAAGATTAAACGATTCAATCTCATGGGATTTGAACTTGACTCTTAGCCAATTGAGTTTTTACGTTATTAGATATGTTCTACAAAGCACTTACGCATTTTTTGTATCGACAAAATAGAGTATTAATGATGCAATACTACAAATGAATACGACTCCAACCTATATGCAGAAAAAGAACATAATTTTGGAAACTACAAACGAATGAATATCTTTTCAAACCAATGTTTTTCCCATTTTTGTTTGACCTGATATTAGATTATTTTCCCATTCTTTAATTGCTTGTAACCAACTAAAGTAATCTTCACTTAATTCTTCATTTCCTCGATCAGGAGCTGTCCATGGTAAACTCTGTCGTCTTATAGAAAACTATAAAATTGAATTTTCATTAATAATAGACAAAAAAAAAGAATTTCTTGTAGAAATTACTTCATTCACACGGCTGTAATGTTTACATGTTGCAATAAATCTGGATCGACGTCGTTTTATGAGTAACATTTTCATAAAATCATATATAAGAATTATAAACCATCCGCCAAAAAGTGTAAATAATGATGAGAACAAAAATGTTGTCCACATTCGTTCACCATTACACAATGGATCAAGACTGCTCGAAGCAAACTCACTTGGCGTTGTTGGACAATTACCCATTTTCTTCGAGAAACTCTCAACAAGTGAGAAGGAAAATATATGCTAACCAGATCTAGAAGACGGCGAGAGAAAACGCTAATTTTCTTCAACATCCTATTGGTTTACACAATTCATCAATCAAATTTGATCTGCAGATCTCTTTAATGATCTAAAAAGAAAAATATATTGACATCTGCAAAATTTCCTGAATCTTGATTAATTTTATCAAATATCAATATTTTTACATAAAATATAAATTAATATTGTTTTGTTATTTTTCTTTTGCTTTTCTCTTCCTTCGTCATGCATATCACTCTATTTTTCTAATGATCAACAATTTAATAGCTTATACTTTTTATCATTCAAAATTAGATTATAAATATTTTATTTATCTCGGCTAAAGCACGTTTATGTATTCTTTGTAATAAATATGAAAGTAGCAATCGCTCGAAGTTTACACGTATTTATACAGCTGTTCGTATCGAAAAAATGACTTGAAGGTTATCGATATTGTCACAATAGGCACGAACTAAATCAACTACTGAATCAATGTCTGCAGCTGATAGTTTAAGATCTGTTGATGTAGAATATAATCAAGTCAGAGGTTCGAAAATGGATCTCAAAGAAACAATAATAATAATGCCATTTAATTCTCAAGAGATTACTGTATTAGTTAAGAAAAAAAAGTTGTTGCTATTTTTAACATAGCCACATGTCCTTCCCTTGATAAATATCATTGACTACATTATTGACAGTATCTACCAAAGTTAAGCAAGCTTACAAACATCTGTTGACATATTATCAGAGAAAAAAAATCGTCACTCGTAACTCATAAGACCAAAGTTTATAGAATCAATTTATACGATGAAAACTATTACTATATATTAAGCAAAATCGAATAAAGTACCGTTGAATTTAAATCAGACAAAAAACTAATTAGTAAATATTTTCCAAACATATTAAAGTTTCATCTCATCAATTACATTTAATTTTCAAAAAAATATGTAAAAATAATATGACACTGTTTTCAATGACACCAGAAAAGACATATCATAATCATATAGCTATTTTCTATACTGCTGTCTGTATTTATATTTCATCCAGATCTATGACATGTTAGTTTTTGACATATTTATAATAGCAATAGTTCGGATTTCTCATCAACATCATGTCAGATGCTTTCCTGCAACGATAATATTTCAATCATTCAAACTTTATATATATATTATCACAAAAATAGTTACATCCTTATAGTACATATATCTATGTTCTTTATAAATAAAAAGAAAATTGAAAATCTAAGAATGAAAAATTATATGTCAAGATTTTAACGTCATGTCAGCAAATCATTATTCATTTTAATAAGAATCAGTAGTATACTATAAATCTTGAATTATTCATTAGTTTTATTGATAAAATCTAAGAGAAATCTAATGTATATTTTTATCTGTCAATATGCAGAAGTTATTTATTTTCTGTAATATTACGTACTGTATCTGATATGTTGTAAAGAAATTCCGATCAAATTTTCAATAAAAGTTAGAGATTAATCATTCCAATTTGTTCACGTATATCAAAATCATTTATTAAATTATGAACAATTTATATCAGAAATAGAAACGAATAATATGTCTACTTCACCAATTGAATTCTTACCTTCTATACCATATTAAAGATTTATGTTGACGATAAAGTCAAATGTAGAACTCAGTACTGTAATCTGATCTTATTCCATCATGTATACAACATGATAGTATTTTCTTATCGTGACTTATATAAGAGGAAATTAATTTTTATAATAGACGAATTCCAATAGTGAAGACAACCGAAGAATTTAACATATTGATAATAGATTTCTATAATCTTATGAAACTTTTACATCATCCATTAATAGTTTATTCATGCGGCATAAAAAGTATGCATTTTTGTATGAATATTAATCAATTTATTTATTTTCCTTTCACGATCGCAATCACAAATAATTCTATAATATATTCAAATCTAGATAATCATGATGCCAATAAAAATCAGCATATATATTACTATTTTAATTGACATTAAATGATTAATAGAAAATAAATCCCAATGTATTTTCTAAAGATCTCACAATTCAAATGCAATCTAAAGTTTTAGTCTGAGAAACTATCAAATTCACTTAAATATAATCATGTTTATATGAAAAATATTTATCCAATAAAATCTACAGCTGATACAGATATATTTATAATTAAATTATGAAAGTATTACTTGTACTTTTCTTGTTTTCATTATAATATGGTATATCATTATCTGTTTACTATTTTCTATAAAATAACAATTACTATTAAGAACATAAAAATTAGATGAATTATCAGTAAACAGCTATATAGTCCATGAGTAATCTATTTACGATTGTCTGATCTAGATATAAATCGTTCTACTGTTGATACTAGTTTTAAGAGTAATAAGAATCAATTATCATACGTATCGTAGTCAATTTAGTTTTATTAAAATCTTCCTATACTTCAAAAATTTGAAACAGTAATAAAATATATTCATGACAGGAAGCAAGCGCCATCTGAAATGTCAAGTATATCTATTCTGTACGGCTTGCAGAAGAATCGAATCCGCTCTAACTTTTTCTCATCTATATAACCAGCTGATAGTTATTCTTATTCGTCAATAGTTTATGGTTTCACAATACTTTTTTGTATTTCTATTTAAATGGAACAATCTACTGCATCACCACGAACTACAACAATAAATATCGATGATATTATTACAGTTCTTCGCATTGCTACACAAAATCAATATAGTGCTCGAGAACTTCATACAACGGTTTGTTTTAAATTTTTTCTTCTATTTAAAAAAGATAAATAAATTTATAATCTTTGCTTTATTAAAGAATGCAACAATTGAATTAAATTTCACAAGTCTTTTTGGACAAGATTATGAATATCAAGTTTGTTTATTTTTTTTTTGTCAACACCTTTTTTTCTATTATTTCTGTAGTTAATATCTAATACAAATGGTGAATTATCTTTATATTATCCACGACGAATTCTTGTTCCTACAATTGATAAATGGTCAAATATAACAACATCAAAAATACAAACTACACTCGATCTTCGTGATTATTTTGTTCGATCTCGTATTGCTCGATGTCGCTCACGATTTGTTGTTCCTGTTATATTAATTGATGGAAAAGTTAGTTTTTTATTCAACGAAAATTTATTTTTTATTCTTTATTAATCATTTAAGTACATCTGTCGATCTTCAACAGTTGCTTCTTGGGGTGAAGTCTATTCTCGTTCAGGTGTTGATCGTTTATTAGATACAAGTACTCGTACAACAGCTCCATTGATACTTGATTCTCCAGTGAATCCATCTGGAGTCACCACTGATCTTGATGGACCACCAAATATTGCAATTGAAGGTGCTGCTGCCGCTGCTGCTTCGTCAAATACTGAAGTACCTCAACAACAAAATATATTTGATAAACTTCGTGGTGCTGATATTGATCTATTAAAAGTACTTGATGTTAGTTCAATCGTTAATTTAATGGTTGAAAAACGAAAAATAATGTTTGGCGTTAAGTACGAATATAATTATTTATAGAAACAAAAAAAATTATATTTTTCATTATTTTTTAGTGTAACATCATCAGAAAATTCAGATAAAGAAAATCGTTATCGAGATTTTCAATTGTTAATTCTTCCTTATCCAGGTAGAATCAATGAAATCTTAAAATAACATAATTAAATTCATTTATTTTTGATATTAAGGATGTGAACATTTTCGAGATTTTTCAGTGCAAAGATATAATGGTGAATTAATGTTTTATGATTGGTCATTACCATTAAATGATTCGTCATTTCATGTGCCTGAACGTGTTTCATCTCTTGTAAAAACAGATTGGTCATTTTGGAAGGTAATTTTTCAGTTTCTTATCGATAACTATCAATCTATCAAAGTAGTCATGGAATTCAATTGATCTCACTAAAAATTATCTTCAATTAATTATACGTCATCTTGAAATAGGTATTTTTCCTTTTATCTATAGAAAAATCTATCAATGTGAATTCATCTTTTATAGATGAACATGGACTTTTGGTACATTGTATATCAGGTTGGGATCGTACGCCATTGTTTATATCTCTATTACGTTTATCATTATGGGCTGATGGTTGGATTCATCAATCACTTACTGTTGAGGAAATCCTCTATTTGACTTTAGCTTATGATTGGTATTTATTCGGGTATAAGACTTTTTTTCAGTAATTTGATTAAATTAAAGATTAGATTTTTTCTTCAAATAGACATTGCTTACCTGAACGATTACTTCGTGGCGAAGAAGTAAGTTTTATATTAAAAAAATAAATAAATGAGATAATTTAATTTTCTGAATAGATTCTTTATTTTTCTTTTATGATGCTTCCACATTTATGTTCCAACGACTTTGTTTATAAACGATCGAATAAGTATGTTTAAAAGATATAGAAACCTATGTATTACACTTTATAAATGATCGATAAATTCATTTGAAGGAATACGATTCAGTTTAATGACTATTATTTTCCTTTATTTATTTAGTCCTCCGAATTCACAGTTAAACACTACTACGTCAGATCGATCTGAAAGTGTTTATTCTATTAGGTAAATTTTTAAACATATTTTTGATTTTATTTTCATTATTGTTCAATATTTCAGTGCTTTGACACGTTTGAATGATGCTAATTCAAATTCTTCACCTCCAGTCGATACCACTGATCATTCAACAATAAATTTTAATCGAAATGCAGATGAAATATCATTTGCTCAAAAATCTGACTTAAATTCGAACGAAGAACATGAAAATACAAGTTCGCCACCAAAAACAATTCGTGAAGAAAAATTACTTGCTGTTTCTCATCTTTTTCAATTATGTTATCGAACTGTGATACCAAATCGACCACCACCAGTTGCTTCCAATACAAATCTATTACCACAAGGCCTGAGTGCATTTAATCCTAGGCCAATCGGTATGCATTTATTTTGTTTCTTTTTGAATAAAAAAACCCTTTGTTTTTATTTTAGGACGAGAAATAGCTCGTTCATTTAATAATTTTATCGGTCAATGGCGCACTCAACCTCGTTGATAGCATGTGTTTGATGACTATGTATATGCGCACGCCTTTAAACTGCATCTAATTCGTTTCATTATCTTTTAAGTTTTTGATTTTCTTTAAAACTGTGATTGTTTTTTAATTGAACGGATAGATATATTCGAATGTATAACTTATTTTGAACCAAAAACAGAAATTCGTTGAACATTTTTTTTCCAATTTTATTGTTATATTTCCTTGTCACAGTCCATAGATAAAGTTAAATTATGTCTAATTAACAAAAAGCAACAAACGTATTTATTGTGAATTGAATAATATAAAATCATACCTAATCTTGATAACTTTGTTTTTATATATACGAAATATGGTAATTATTAATAGAAGCCCGCTTAGATTGAAATATATACATATAAAGAAACTAAGCAGTGCCTTTCAAGAAAAGTTCGTCTTGATCAGATCCATCGTTTTTTTGTGATTAATAACTTGTTAAATAAAGTGTAACATTAAGTTTCAACAACAATATGAGGTGTATAATTTAGGATGCATTTTTGTTCTCAAGATTTCAATGGGATTGATGCTCGACAATACAATGAAGAGTGAAGCCTCTCAAACTATGTACCAGATGCCCCGTAATGATTGCAACACATAGTCATTTTTACTTTACAGAATATTGAAAATTGTTTGTACTATCAATTCGTACTTTTTTTCTTTCTTTTGCTTGTATTTATGTTTATGTATACAGTTTTATTTTTATTTTCTTTTATTATTATGAGTAAAAGAGTCTCTTTGTATATTAACCATACGCCCCATTCAGACAAGCAAAAATTAAGGATAAAATGATGTACTCAAAAGCCACGACTTTTTCCTCTGGTAACATAATATAATATGTAGATATGGGTGAAAAAAATAAATACTATAGCGTAATACGTTTGTCTGTAAGTATCCTCTTCGATCATTGTTATGCTTCATTGCTTATGACTCATTATGATTCGTAATTTTTTTGTTATTTCGATAAATGTAAGTTTTAAGTAGAAGAGAATTAAATCGGTGTAGATACGTATAACGTTGAAACGTTTTTTTATTAACTCTATTTTAATAATTGTATATAATGGCTGCATTATCAAGTATTCCACAATGTCAAAATCTTGAAACATTTACACTTGTTTGGCTCGATAGTTTAGTTAATATTTCACAAGAAAATATTGATACGAAGGTATTACTTCGAAATGCAATTAATAATTTACAAGCATTCGATGATAGTGATAAATGTGTGGAATACATTCAACTTGTGTCTGAAGAAAGAATTGTTCTGATTGTTAGTGGTCGACTAGGACGAGAAGTTGTACCACGTATTCATCAACTTCCACATCTAATTGCAATCTATGTTTATTGTACTGATAAGAAACGAAATGAAGAATGGGCTAATAATTATATGAAAGTAAATATAAATTTGGAAAAAAACATAAAGATTTTTATTTTAATTAGATAAAAGATGTAATCGTTGATTTAACTACATTAATTACAAGAATCCAATCTGATCAAAGTAAACGAAATGAATATAAAATTGATGAACCATTACCAATAAGTTTTTTTCATACAAAAACTCATCAGAAAAAAAGTTCACGTATTGATAATGATAACTTTATTCATTTACAAGTATTAATCGATTGTTTAAGTCGAATGAAATCGACTTTAAAGGATAAAAATGAACTTATTTCATTATGTGAAAATGAATATAATGGAAATCAAACTGAATTAAATGTTATTCATGAATTTGAAGAAAAATATTCAGAAGATCGAGCCATATGGTGGTTTACAAGAGAAAGTTTTGTTTGTCGTATGTTAAATAAAGCATTTCAAGTTATAAACATCGATTTATTATATCATTTACACTTTTTTATTCGTGATATTCGAGAACAATTAATAGAAAATAAATGTTCATCTGTAATCCATACTTATCGTGCTCAATTAATGTCAAATGAAGAAGTACAAGCATTGAAAGATTCTATTGGAGAATTAATTTCAATTAATACATTTCTTCCAACAATCCCGAATCATCAACGAGCACTTACAATTTTAGAAAATTCAGATATGTCTCATGATTTAAAACGAGTTCTTTTTGAAATAAATGCCGATCCACAATTAAGTGAACTCAGACCATTTAGTAATATTACTTCATTAAATTATTTTACCGGTATCGAAGTTATCTTATTCATGGCCGGAACAATTTTTCGTCCAACTGATATTCATGAAGAAAATGGTATTTTAGTTATTCAAATGGAAGTATGTAGTGATAATCATAAAACAATGAAGATAATTTTAGAAAATATGAAAGCTGAATGTTATAATGGTGAAACGAATCTACTTTCATTTAGTAATATACTTTTAAAAATGAAAAGATTTGGTGATTCGGAAAAATATTATAATCGAGTTTTACATGATATGCCTAATGATTATCATTCAGTTGCACATTGTTATCAAGGACTTGGTAATGTAGCTATGGAAAAACATGATTATGATTTATCTCTTGAATGGTATCAAAAAGCACTTGATACGAATCGACTTGTATTAAGATCGGAAGATCCCGAAATTGCTTCTGGATATAGTATTATGGCAGATGCTTATGTTAAGAAAGGTACATTTAATGAAGCATATGAATTATATACACAAGCATTACAAATATGGATTCGTGCATTAGGTAAAGATCATCCAAAAGTTGCAACATGTTATAAAAATATGGCTTGTGCTTTTAAAATGGAAGAAAGATATTCCGAAGCACTTGAATATTTTACAAAAGCTTTGGCAATTCGTGAAAAAAAATCTTCCGATCATCAACTTGATGTGGCTAAGTTACATAACTATATTGCAGATATTTATATGTCACTTAATGATATGGATCAAGCATTAAAACATTATAATTCAGCTCTTGTATGTCTTACAAAAATTTATTCTTCTAAACATATAGATGTTTTATTAATCATTCGAAATATTGGTCTGTGTTATGAAACATTGGGTGATCTAAATCAAGCTTTAGCACACTTTGAAAAAGTAGCTTTAAAACGTCGTCAGTTGTTATTATCAGATCATTCAGGTGTTATTCAAATTTCAGATGATATTGAACGTGTATCGTCTAAATTGAGTAATATTGCAGAATTTTAAATTGATTTATAGTAACATGAATAATCAGAAAACAAACAACTCATTTTTCTTTTATTGTAAACATAGTTTAAATTGCTAACAAACTAACTATCGGAATATATTATCTCGAAAAATTTGAAATATGTATGGTATTATTGTTTTGTCAATAGAGCAAATATTTTGTTTTTATGTAAAACGATTCTATTGTTATATCATAGACGAAAATATGTTGTTTATTTTTCTTATTATACTTTTAATCGATCATATTGAAATTATCTGTATTAATCATACAGGAAAACAGCTTTGAGAAAAAAAAGAATCAAAATAAATTATTTACAAAGTTCGCTCTCTTTTCTTTTTTAATGTTCCGAATAAATAAATGAATTTTTACAATAAACAATAAGAGATTAAGATAAAATACTGTTATTTATTTGCTTATTTTTAATTTCCATTTAAATTGTTTAATATGATTATCAAGTTTGTCTTCTGGATTATTTCCATAGTCATCTGAGTTTACTGTCGATGTTGATGATGAGGATGAGGATGATAAATGATGATTATTTTTATCAAAACTTTTCGATAAATCCATTGCTAATGAACAACCAGATGCAAGTATACTATCATCTTCTCCTCGGCGTGCCAAACGATTATTATTTGGATAAAAGATTTCTTCGTGTGAAAGTGCTCGACGATTATTTGATTTACGTTGATGTTTGATTGATGAATGATGACGAAGTATAGATGGTTTGGAATATTGTAAAACAAGTGTAGACAATGATAAACTACGTCCATGATTTTGTGATGGATTTAATTTACGATTTTTAAGATATTTTGATGATGATACTGATGCCGATGCAGTTAATACTGGAGGTAATACTCGCTGTGTTAATTTTTGTTGATGAGCAAATGTTGTTACACTTTGACGCCAATCTAATGGAATTTTATTATGACAAAATGATGAGGAATTTTCTGGTGAATCTTCAGATACATGTTGAAGTCGTGGTGATGGAGATTCAGTTTCTAAATAAAATAGATATAAAATTCTTTATATTGAATGATGAAATTTTTGCTTAGTTAGAAAACTCATGATTTATTCATCTGCAAATAAATCTTACGCTAACTAGAATGGGCAAAGCTTTTACACGATTGATTTCTGTATGGAAAAGAAGATCTCGATTAAATATTCTATTTTAATTAATTTTATGTATATCATGATACACAAATTGATTGATTATAGAATGAAATATTTGCATATTTTACCTTTAACTGGTATATTTTCATTCCTATTCTTTTCTTGTTTACATAATTCTTCTAATTCTTCTTCTTTTTCTTGTAATTGTTTATGTAATTGTTGTAATTGTTCACATAATGCTATTTGTTTATTAATATTTTGTTGTATAATAACTAATTTTAATTGTGTCATAGATGCTTGTGTTATACGTCTAACTAATGTTTCATGATCATCATGTTCAACTGTTTCATCATTAACAGATAAAATAACTGAACCAGCACGTAAACCTGCATCCCATGCTGGACTTTGTTCTTGTACATTATCAACATATGTAACCAATTGTATAGGTGCTATTTGTGATGATGATAAACAAAAGGAATTTGATGCTGATGATTTACGACTTAATGTACTTCCAGATGATAATGATACAAGTGAACATGCTGAATCATCAGTTGATAATGGATTTAATGAAGCAAAACCATATGTTTGAATTGAAAATCCATATGATGCACTAGTTGTTGTTTTTTCAATAGTTATTGTACGTGGACGATAAAGATCTAATGATTGTGAATGACGACGTCGAAGAACTGGTCGACGAAGTGCAGCTGGTGTTGAAGAAGAAGATATAGTTAGCATTATGTTTTTTCTTATGAAGGTACTCTAATAGTTATTTTCGTCTTCATGTCAAATGCATCCATAGAATAAAATACAGATGATTTGAAAGATTTTATTGGTGAAATTAAGAAATTTTAAGTTTAGATTTATTAAATGAAAATAGAATAGATTATTTAAGAAGTTTATTTATGAATTTATAAAAAATAAAAAATCTTAAATGAAGGTCTAAGTACGAACTGTTTAAGATGGCGACACATAGCTTGTTCTTTTCTTTTTTCTTCATTTAGATTTTAATAGGGAAAAGATTTTGATAATGATAAGTTGCTATAAAATTAGTTTTTCTTCAAATTTCTAGATTTCGTCGTTTCTTTGAAGTCGACTAGAAAAATCAAATTATCATCATGGATAAAAACCCAACTGGTGGTGTTATGGCTCGTGTTGTTAAAATTCTTGGTCGTACTGGCAGTCAGGGCCAATGTACACAAGTACGTGTCGAAATTATCGATACATCATCATCAAAACGATCCATTATACGTAATGTTAAAGGTCCAGTGTAAGTTTTCATTTTTAGAATTAGTTGATTTTTTGATTTAATCTAAAATTTTTGTCTTTAGACGTGTTGATGATGTACTCGTTCTTCTAGAATCTGAACGTGAAGCTCGTCGTCTTCGATAATTATCGAATAAAAGAAAAAATTTGTTTATGCCAAGTTCAATAAAACAATGGCTATTTGTTGTTTGTTTTTTATTTTTTCTATTTACTACGTATTAACATCGAGAACATATTAGAAAAGTAATAAACAAACTGATGATACAAGATATTTTTGTTTTCGATTAAACTAAACAGAAATTGTTGTTTTTTTTAATTGAATCTTTCATATTAATTTCAAATAGATCTAATGAAGAACAAGACGATCGAGTATAATCGATAGTTTTAAGATATTTCATCTATAGTAAATGTAAAACTACTATAACTAAACAGTTTTATTATACTGTAAGTTCAAATTTGTAGATGGTTGTGGAAATACAAAACCTTATCAATATGAATAATTGATTGAAAGTATTCACTTTTATTCTCTAACGAAGATTATTTGACATTTCAAAAAAGTAGTTTATCATCGATCTATTTTCCAGTCAAATAATTCTTATTACACTAATATTTTGTCATAGTAATCATCTTCACTACAATAAACTCGTGTAATTACATAGCTCCTAGACATACCTGATCTTCGTAGTTTGATTCATCTTTACATCAAAAAGTCATAAATAATAATAATTCATATCTTTATTTAACTATAACTGAAATTTATGATAAAGTCAGTTCTGTTGTCACCAATCCGTTGTATTATACAATTTAGTTTAATTGCAAACAAATCACATAAATATCTCGAAATTCCAAAGGATTAAAAATAGCCTAGAAATATATTTAAATCTTCCGGTAATTCTATGATGTCTTATATAAATCAAGAAGCTTGTTATTCAGAAAAATCTGATTGAGAAACATTTTTATAAAGTCGTATGAAATCATTGGTATCTAACTGTTGAATACTTTGATGCTCACTTATAACAATATTATTACATCTATTGCAATTCTATATACTAAAATGTCCTTATTCTTGTATCTAATTTGAGAGTAAAGAAAAGTCTTTTTTTAATTATCTTTAATAGATATTAGTCACGTAATAGATAAAAATTGTAATGATAAAGATCATTATAATATTACAATAAATGCGCTTAGTTTTAAAACGTAATATGTAATGCATGCTATTATTCGATAAAAATATCTATAATTAAAACAAAAATATTAAATAAAAAATACGCTATACAATTATTTATGAGAAGTGATAACTTTTTAATACTTCCACCGAGAAATATAAAGAAAGTCAATATACATAACATTAAAAATTAGATAGCTATTGTACATTGTCTAAAAAGAAAACATATCTGTTTATAAGTCTTTCGAAAATATAATTTATCATAAATAAGAAACAAACTCTAATTATAGAACCTGCCTATTAGCAAAATTCATGTCTCAATGAAAGGAGATCAATTGTACTGGAAAATAAAGAAAAATTTTTCATTAACATCAAGCAGAAAATCATTCTGATACATCTAGCCATCCATGATGTTGTATATATTTCAAAATTAATAATATCTGACATAATTTATCTGAGAAAACAAGCTAAAAAACTTTCCATATGAATAAAAATACTTGCAGTTAATTATATATTTTCAGTAGAAAAAAAACGAAAGATTATCAATGTCTTGAGGCTAAATAAACATTCAACCATGAAATATATATATATTAGTTATAGAAAAATGAGTTTTTCTATATCAATTTACTGAAGCAAAAAGAAAAATGTTTTTCTTATATAAAATAATAGAGTAGAAGTTTATTTCGTACCGAAAAAATAGGTCTATACAAAAAAAAAAAGAAAAAACAAATATTGTTCATTGATTATGTTGATGTGTATGTCCATTTGGTGGTGGCATAAGTGGCTGAATTTTTCTTGGTATTACAGCTGGTGTTACACGTCTTCGTTGTTTAGGTAATTGTTGTCTTGCTAATAAATGTCGATTAAAATTATCAAATATTTCATTTATAATTGGCATTGGTAAATCAATAAGTAAGACACCAACTATTGTTGTTATTGCACCAACTATCATTCCTAACAGTGATGTTGGTACAGTATCACCATAACCAACTGTAGTTATTGTTGTTAATGCAAGCCATATACCATCCATAACAGATAAAATTTGACTGTCCGATTGATTACTTAAACGTTCAACATAATATAATGTTGAACCTGATATTAAAATAGCAAGTAAACAAAAATATATTGTTAAACTTAATAATGTTGTTGAAGATGATAGTGCAGTTGTTATAACTCTTAAACGTGGATGCATAGTAATTAATTTAAACATACGTGCTACACGTATTGTTGATAAAAGATCTATGAATGCATAATGTCCAGCATAATTATAAACATCATATAAGATATAAGTAAAAAAGAATAAAAATGTACCAAGAAAATCTAATAAAAACTAATTGTATATAGATAAGAAAGCAATTCTTATTTCTTACCAATCCAATTAAGTATGGATACAATAAAAGCTTTCTTTGACGGAGCTACAATAAATCGCAATACGATTTCAAATGTAAACCAAGAATTACCTAAAAAGCAAAATATATTGTAATTAATACAGTTTGTTTAGATGAGAATTAATTCTAATGTTCTTCTAATTCACATAGATATATGACTTAACAGCTTGAAATTAATCATAAAATTATCTGTGCTTTTACTTGTATCTCTATCTACTATCCTTTTTTTCTCTCTATAGTATTATCTTACAAATCCATTCGACATTGTTAAAACCTGCAATTGCATCTTTTCGTTGTGTATTATATAGAGGTGTTTTTTCAGTTGTATTAGCATCAACATAAACATCAATAAAATCATATTCAATGATTTCAAATATTGGTAATGTTCGAATAATAAAAGTTGTTATCGATAAAAGAATAAAGAATATTGAAATAAGTGCAACAACCTAGATAGATTTGAAGAGCATTATTTATATAAATTAGAAAAGAGTTTTTTTTATTTACTTTTGATGCTTTCGATGATCTTGGTTCTTCAAATATTTGCCATATGATTGATCTAATACGCTGATGTAATTTTAGACGACCCGTTGTTACTAAATGAAAATCATTTTGCCAACCAAATTTTTTTACTATATCACCAGCTGTCGATCGAACTGTATCTAATTCTAATGAATCAAGTGTTTGAAGAGTTTCTTGTGTTGATCGAAATTTTGTATATGTCATCCTATAAAAAACAACATGAATATTTTCGCTTATTTATTTTTATTTTAAATTTTACCAGCAACAAGGTTCAACTTCTTCTCTTTGTATTCCCCAAAATGAAAGTTCATCTTCAAATAATGGACCACATACATTCGTCGGATAATGCAATTTTCCTGTCCTATAATAATTAAGTATTTGAGTAAAAGCTCCAGGATGTCGATCAAAAAAGTATTCATTTAATACAGGATCATAGTATGATAATTGTGGAGTTAATTTTGAAAGACGTGTCGCTGGTAGTTTTTTTAATGTTGCACGTTGAGTTTCAAATCTCATTCCACCAACATTAAGAACAACACGAGATTCATTATTATTGCTTGCTGTTGTATCAAGAAATTTTACTGTTTTTGATGAACGCATTTTTATTTCTAAAGAATTCATTAAAAAAATAAATAAATTTAATTATTTCAAAACAATATATATATATATATCGGAAATATTTAATCTTATTAATTTTGAATGTATATATATTCACCTGTAAATCTTTTATATTTCTCATTCATCCATTGAGGATCGTTTCATCTTAGTCTGTTATCAAAACTTTTCCCTTAACGTCCCATAGGTCTTTTTATCTATTCTTTTTTCTCTATTAGTTTTTTCTTGTCACGAGAGACTCTTACTATGAGAACATTAACAGTTTTGATGTTGTTGTTTCAGTATTACACAGACAGGAAATAGCAACAGAATAAAAAAGAAGAAAAAATTATTTTCTCTTTTTTTTTCTTCTTTTTTTTTTTTTTCTTTTTTTGTTTTCTAATTTACTACTCGACGGTTATATATATATACCTGTATAATAATGAAACGATTATGTCGAAGGAAGATAACTTAATGTCATATTAGAAATTAATTGATAAAACACAAAAAAGAAAGTAATTGAATCTTTAGTGTACTTTATCTCATATACACATATGGGTGTCAAACATTAACTACTTGGAAAATTTCTCTTTTTTTTTTTTTTCTTCTTCAAGTCTTTTTTTCTTCTCACTGTATCTATAGACAAAACAACCTATTTATATGATGAAGAACAAATAATTTTGATAAATATTTGAGATTTTTCTATTCTTTGTCAATACTCATCGAAAAAGATAATGTTGACAGAATTGAAGATAGTTTATATTCTTCAGACAAAAAAAAAGAATGATTCGATGCTATCAATACTATTTAGTTTTGATTAAAATTGTGATTGAACGTAATAGAATGAAATATGTTTCTTTTAGAATATTGATACATAAGGTTTGAAAATATTAATTCTATTAGAATATGTTACTTGATGGGCTTCAAATTCTGATGACAGTTGAGTATTAGTATAAATCTATTCTTATATATCTGACAAGTAACTTATGCATTGGATAAATAGAAAAGATCTTCATCATCATAGTTTGATACATTTTAATCTTTGGATAACTTAGTAACTATAATATAGATCTAATCTAGTTTAAAGTCAATAAATTCATTTGTTTTTCTAAATTAAATTATGCTCGAAATAACTATAGTGATCATAAGGAAATCATTAAAAAATGATTATAGGTCGGTGCAATCTAAAGTTTATCTTCATCATAATCTATCTGATTGAACATAAACAAAAAAATATATAAGTAACAATTCTTATTACGCACGAAAAATATATCTTTTTATTTAAGTCGCTGAAATTTTCCACCCATTTCTTTCAGAGTAATCAGACTTAAAATAAATATATAGAAGCATAGATAAAAATCTGATGATTCATTTTTTCTCTTGATTCATATATCTGGAAGTAGTTCAAAGAATTTTATTGCAACTTATTATTTTGCTGCAAAAAATTAAAACTTTGTGAAGCATTGGAATCATTCATCTTCATCTTGATAAAGAAAAAAAATGATGCTGTCAAATATTTTTGTATGAATAAAAGTTAACAGAAACTTGAAGGCTTTCAAATAAGCATTTTTAATGAACATCTGTCATAAATGGAAACCTTAGTTTAGGTTCTTCACTAAAGCTTCGAATGCTTCTCAAAATTGCGTGTCATTTCAATGTGCCTAATTTGAGAATAATCTATGATCAAGATGAATAAACCAGCTATTGAACCATTCATAGCTGTTGATTTTGTGAATATTTAACATGCTATTTTAATTCTTTCTATTTATAACGATGAATATTATTTTTAAGAAAGAAAATAAGATCTGTTATTCGAACTGATCGACAGAAGTTAATAGTGTCAACAAAAGAAACTGATACTTGACACTAAGAAAACATGCGAAATCATTTTTCTTGTTCTTTAAAAATTAATTCAACGCTTTCTATGTTTCTATACAAAAAGAAACATATGTTGATTTATTTCGATTGATTAATTTTGCACTTGATTTCAACAAAAATTTCATTTTCACAAATCAAAATATTCAATTTTAGTAATTCGAAAGTAAATTCAATGATTTTCATTCTTCAAACATACAATCAACCGACAATAATAAAGCTATGATTATCTTCACTCTAATTATTATATATCACACTATGTTATTAAAAGCTCAACAAAAAAAACATTTTCTAATTTTTAAACTTAACTACTTCAACTAAACTAACGTTCCCGTTGCTTAAAGATTAAAACTTGACCTTTTTCTTCTCATCATTATATATGCATAACACTTCCTAAGGCTATTATTCTAACACATGTAACCGCAACTGTATATATATATATATGCAAAGTTCTATTACATTTATTCATGCATTATTCAATTTAATTGTATTATTTAAGTTGTTCTCATACAATATTTTCTGCCTTTCTTTTTTTTATCTGATAAGCACTTGTCGTAGACAGTTTACCTTAATAAATCACGCACAAGTCTATAAAGGAGTAATTTGATATATGTGAACAATAGTTACAACTATATTGCTTATAAAAACACTTTTTGTTCTACCACCTGTAGCTTATATAACGTAACAAGTCATATATATTAACGGTCTATTTAAAAGTTACTATTCTTTTTTTTTTTTGTTCACACTAAAGTGGCAGCCAACAATATGTCTTCTAGTGATTCAACTTACCCTTTCAATAGAAAGCTGTCAAAGTCTTCCTTTCTTTTACATCTATATAGAATAGGCAAATAATATCAACTGAATCGTTTGACAGAAACAATGTTTTGTACGAATGATGACATAGCACATCTGTACAATAGTTATTATATTTTTCTTTTTCTCATGATACAATTATATGATTGATTGACCAAATGAATATTTTTATTCGAAAAGATAAAGTTATCTTATATACATTAGTATTCACATTATTCATTATACAAAAAGAAGAAAACAGGAAAAAAGGTTCGGATGTTTAATAATGATTGATCGTTTTATTCACTACAAGTAATATAGTAATATCTTGACGGATAGAGAGAGAGAGAAAGAGAGAAAAAGAAATTTTAAATGTTCAAATAGTAATGTATACGCCCACAAGTTGTTGCTAAATTTTACTAGCCTATAAATGTTCGTTACACATATGTCGTATAAAATTGACGATTAAATTGATGAATGGTCAATCGTACATAAACATATGAAACATATGGACATATAAATGTCGTACTAGAGCCGTAACACGTCTCATGAATTGGCCTACATTATTGAAATATGATGTAATACAAAAAAAAGCAGGAGACATATTCTTTTCTTCTTTTTTTTTCATCATTGCTGTGAAGTAGTACTGCGAAGGTTATCCGCTCTTTCTTTTTCTACTTATTCATGAATTCAAGGTAGACATACTATCGGCTATTTCTTCTTTCTCGCTTTCTCTTTTCTTAGGGTTGAACAAATTTTCTCTTCTCTCTCTCTCTCTGTTTTGTTGTTCTACTCTCTCTATATACTCTCCCTCTCTCTCGTTGCCCGTTCATAGTCACTTTTCTCATTACTACAAACGTCGTCGGTGAACTAGGAGAGTAGTAAGTGCGAACGACGAACAACTGAACACATACACACGCACAAATACACATATACAAAGAAGAGGATGCAACAACATCAGCAGCAGCATCACCACTATATTGATAGACGACGACCCCGACTGATGGACAGTAGTCATAAGACTAGAAATGATGATTTCTATACTAAATTAGAACGTATACGTTTAACTGCAGCAGCTTCTTCTTCAAGTAAGTTGTTTCTAGATTTCAATATTTGTTGAATGTTATTTCTTTTTTCAAATAGTTCATATTAATAAAGAAAATACAAAAATATTTCTTTTTCTTTCTTCATTATTCTCATCGTATCAGTATTTGTTGCGCATTAATCATGATGAGACAGAGACTTTGCGTGAAATGATGATTAGGTCGTTTATGTTTACATGAGAAATGTTAATGAAGCAAACATGTTTATCAATCGGTCGTCATCATCATTTCTAAATGATCTGTTGTCTCATTTATCTTTCTATTCGATCGTCAACGTAACAAAATAGAAAAACTGACGCGACTGATTATCGGCTAAGTTAACTATTCATTTTTGACACTCATTTAGTGTAGACAGATGATGTAATAAAATGTCATTTAACTCGTGTTATTGTGAAAAAGAAAACTAGACAAAACCTGTGTAGTATCAATATGATCATGTCTGTTGAGTATCAATCAGTCTTATCTAGTTCATAAATCACAGAAGACTTGTTGATGGATAGTCATTTCTATTAAAAAAAATAAAAGTATCGCTGATATATTATATAATTTTCTTTTCTTTTTTCATTTATGAATAGAACAGTGTTCACATCGTTCAGCAACAGAATTATTAGATGAATCAAAAGCATTTTTTGTTAAAAGTCAAGAAGTTTTACATAAACGACAATCACTGCTAAATAATAAAACATTAAATGAACAACAACAACAGATTACACCATCATTTCGAATAACGTATGTTTATTAATTTTAATATAATAATAATGAAAATAAATTGATCATTTTTCGTAGAAAATCACGTCGTTCTCCTTATCAAGATTACGAATATGAAAATGACCGGTTTCGACTAGAATCTTTAGATATTCCATTACGATCTTCCACACCTCCGATATCTACTCCAAACTCAACAACAAATTTTTCTGATTGTGGAGCAGTTGAAAGTGTTAGTCTATTATCACTTTCGGATCAAACGACACTTGATAGTGCTAATAGTCCATCAAATATAAGAAGAACAGTTATACCATCAACATCGTTATCTGTGATTGAACGTAATGCAAGAATAATCAAATGGCTTTTTCAATTAAATAAAGCTAATGCATCACCTTCGTTTCAAGAAGTTCAATAGTCAGCAAAGATAAAATTTATTACATTTGCTTTGTTTTTTATTTCTATTGTGAATTATATTGTTTTGTGTTTTGTTCTTTGAAAGAAACAAAGAAAAAATTTTTAATTTATCAAAAAAAAGATAACATATAATCAATTAAGAAATGATCCGAAACGTCCGTCGAGACAACGATATCAAATAGATTTCATCATACACTCGAAAAAAATTACTTAAAATATTTTGTTCGACTGATGTTATCATTCTTCATTATGAATTGAAGTTTAGTCTATTCAGATGAATATGTGTATCTATGAAAAATGATTCTTTTTGTTAGTTTTATGCATAATACATTATTTGAATATTTTTCTGTTTATCGAGCCATATTAAACTTAGTCTGAAAAGAAAAAAAGAAACTTTTTATCTTTATTTTTTCAGTTTTTTTTCTCTA